GCTGCGAAGGCGGCTCACATGCAGAGTCTTTCGGGATTTGGGGACGCGGCGGTGACTGACCCGGCCTGCGGACTTGGGCATTCAGGGGGGGTCACTGCTGTTTCAGAGCAAGGAGTGACAACGCATCATGCCAAAGGCCAGTCCCAGCAACTCGGCTGTAAATAGCCACAGTCATTTGGGCTGGAGACTTAAAGCTTCTTTATGTGCCTGAGCCCCCCTCAGCCCGCGGGCGGTTCGGCTCAGGAGGATGGTTGGTCTGATAGCGAAAGCGCCCTAGGTCTGAGAGACAACACTGCCTTGCACAAGGTCGGCATCCTTCAGCAACCAGAAGCGGTAGCATGCTCCTGTGAAGTGTGCGCCGAAATCCTTTACAGAGCCCAGTACAGGACCAGGTAAATATTAGTTTTCTATGTAGAGAGAGCGTTACACCTTCACCTCGGTTCCTGTAACAAACTGAAGTGTCCTTTCCCGGGAATTGTCATGATGACCAGAGCCAAGTTCTTGTTAAATTGTAGGACCAGGTTATGAATATACTACCAGAGCAGCAGTTTCCAAACCGTGGTATGTGTTAACAGATTTATTATAATTACATTATATGACAAAAATTTGCTGGCAATATTTAAGGTTGAACTGCACGATTTGCTGGTGGTACTTAAGGCTGTATTGTTTTCAGTTGGTGGTGCGCTTGGGAACCGCTGCCCTGGAGGGAAGCTTTATGATCAGTACCACCATGATCTGACCAAGGTAAGGGCTCCAGGGCTGGCACGTTTAAGACACGTGTCCCTGGTACCGCTGCCGTTCACAAAGCCTGCGCTGAAGTTGCCAACTCTGCCCACCCCCCTCAGGCAGGGGCTTGGACTAGACGAGCCGTTCTCAACCTTTTTTGTAGCAGGACCCAGCGCCGTAAACAGCGATGGCCAGTCCCAACCCAGTGAATAGTTTAAGTAGCTAGCCTCCTGCTAGCCTGCAAGAGGAAGCCCGTGGTTTCCCCATCTTTTTCCGTGATTGTTCACAACCCTTTCATATTAGTCATTTTTGAGTTGTGACCCACAGGTTGAAAAAGGCTGGACTAGATGACCTCTGAAGGTCCCTTCTGGCCTTGCATCTAGGATTTCTATGAAGTTCACGAGAGGCAGATTCTGTAGCAGGGAGTGTGGTCAAAGCATCCAGAAAAAAGACGACACCCCCCACCCCCACCCAAGACAGGCCAGATCCACGCTACAAGGTCCTCGTCCAAAGATTTTTCCAATATCATCAGAACACTGAACTGTCCCTTCCCGCCCCATATATGCCATATGCAGTGTCGCATAACCGGAGAAGGGAGAGTTATGAGACTTTATTGCCATTGTACAGTCCTTGCCTCAGAGTTTAGGCACCCATCTCAGCTCTGTTTGCGTGTCACCCAGTCCTGGGCTACTGGCTTTTAACTGCTATGCACAAATAAAAGTTAGATGCCCACTAGCAATTTGTCTCTGGCAAACTACTAACCTAGTAGGCATTCAGCTACCATTGTGATGGGTGCCACACAATCCCTAGCTCGATGGGAGAGGAGAGTACAATCAGAATGAAAAGACGGCTATTTGCAAAAGCAGCTGTGCAGTGTATAGTTGCACACACAAAAGCAACAATGCTCATAATAGAAACTATTTTTGCAACTAAACTAGGTGTGCTTTCTAAAGGCCATCCACCTAGTAAACACCTCTGTAAGGAAAAAGCATTTGCTACTTGCTGCTACCCTACATGCAAAAAAAGGTCATACTGGATACATACAGCCATACTACCCCCAGTCCTGGGCTGCGTCTCCTCCTCAGCACACACACACAAACCACGTCTGTTATGCTACATCTGGGCCTGAGGGGCAGGATTTAACCCTGCAAATATAATTCCTGAAAGAGAGAAGTACAAAATGTCCTGTCAAGTAATCTGCAAATCTTTGTACTATTGAAACATCTGCTAATTCAGCTATTAAAAAGGTGTAAATAGAACAGTATATAGTCAGGAAGAAATCTGGAATCCCTGAGAGCTATTAAGAAATCATGTTTTAGAACTGTATATTTATTCTTTGCAACTAAAGTTCATTTAGATCCCAAGTAATACAATTACACTAGCATGGACATGCACGTGTTGATTTTACACAGACATGCACTCACCTGTGTACACACGCACACAATATCTCAACATATAAGTTTAAAAAAAATTAAAAGCAGAGGTCTCAGTGGCGATCTACAAAAGACTCCTTACTTATGCAAAGGGGCTATGAAGGATTTGATACTGAGCATTTGCAGACGCATGTAGAATCACACTCTGGAAAGAGCAGTAAAGATAGCAGGTGCCTTTCCCAAGCACTGAAAACACCTTACCTCAAAACACTGCTTGCCTATTAGTTTTCACATACACAACTACATAATAGCTCTATGGCACCTTTCAAAGTGCAGTAGAAACTTTAGTTACTGTTCATGAACTTTGCAAATAAGCAAGAACTGACAATGCACTGAACAAATGCATCAAATCTTCGGCTGCATTCATATCCTGACAATTTTCTAGTCACATTACTACTAGCAAAACCATGTATGGTCTCCAGCTGCCGCTCCTAGTCCAATCCTTTTGCTTCTCCGTGTCCCTGTGAATTGAGGGTGACACTTCATGGAACATATTGAGGCTTGTTCAGTGACACTGAAAAAAAGTAATGGCTGGTTTTTACACAGTAATGTTCTCACTGAGTTCTTTTAAACTGGATAAAAATATTTCTATTAAAAAAAGATGTACACGACCATTTTTGTCAGGAAAACAGCTCTCAAAGTAATTATCAGTGTCCCATTAGTACTTGGAAAGATGCATCATTATTAACATTTTTAAAGCCTCAAAGGACTATTATTTATCACGATCTACTCTGCCCTCCGACATAACTCCTGCTATAAATCTCATGTTGAAATTAAACATGTTTAAAAGGCAGTCCTTCTGATATCTGTCAAGATGGACACATCAGCTTTCCTGGACTACAGTAAGCTTTCCTACTATAAAAGGATACCGCTAAGTTTTTCTGGTAAAAAGCAGCTGTGCAACAGATGATCATCATCAGCCAAGAGACATGTTTAGCAATAATTCAACTCTCTAAACAAGACTGAATTCTAGAGCCATCGTGGAAATTTAATTCTTGGAAATTTTCAAGAGGACAGCAGACGCTTGGCTGGGATGGTTTACTGAGGGATGATCCTGACTACATGACCTTGAGAGGTCCCTTTCAACCCTACTTTCTTATGATCCTAAGATCAGTTTGCCTTTATGTTTATGAACTACTTACCATCTAACTGATTAACCAGGACTGGTGAGACCACCCCATAACACATAACAAACACTATTAATTCCCAAAGCTTATAAAACTTTTTGTATTATGAATACTGAGCAGTTTAAACTTTATGGACATACGGAACCCAGCTGTGACTAAAAATTAAATTGGCTGACATACCATTCTGCAGTACTCCAGGCATCCAGTGTGTTATTTCTGGTAGTTGTGGCCCCTACTCCATTCTTACCCATGTTACGTTATAAATTATAAAAATGGAAGGGTGGAACAACAAAGTTGTTTCCTGCAAAGTGTTGCATATCTTGTCCCTATTGGCTCTGCAGGAAAGCCACTATCCATCACATCCAGGAGCAGCTGGGAAGACTCAGCATCCAAAAGGAACAGGCTAGAACGCTGGGTGAGGTCCTGATGTTGAGAATGTGCAAATGACCTGACAAAACCTTTCAAAGTAGCTGAGAATGACTGGGGGCCTCCTACAGAGATTTGGGTCTGTAAGAGGAAAAAAGGATCCCAGTACAAACAGTTACAGACCAGTCCATCTAGATAAGCAGAAAATGTACAGGATGCCATCTGGTATAGTCATCACGAGAAAGGTTCTTCAGACTATTAATGCAGGCATGACAGGAACGACCATAATTCATTCCGGTTCAAGGCCTATTTTTAGACTGCGTAATGTTTGTACACGAGAGTTTAAATTTACACTTTTTTCTGGTATAACATAACCAATACCTCTGACAGAGTAATCTCCATATATGAGAACTTGTCAGTTTGTGGTGGGGGTCTAGCAGGCTACAAGAGATGTGGGGGTCTCAGTTTAATACCAATCAGTGGGGTATTCACATCACAAAAGCCAGAGACATGTGCTCAACCTAAGCAGAGGCAAATAGCCTCTCCTTAGAGTGGTGCTCAGCCAGTAGCTTAGATAAGGAAAGCAGACCCTGCAATTTTACATGCCTCTCTTAGCACCATGCCAATATGCCTTAGTTACAGGATGGCAATTCAGTCCCTGTAATTCATATTCAGTGATTGGACTCTGAAGATGCCAATACAGGTTTCCCACATTTTATGCAGTAGACGCGTTCCCAGAAAACTGAATAACTTGAATTTGCTAAAGGGAACCCAGTTTATAAGGTAACAAATAGGGATACATTCCCACAGCAGTGAGGGAGGGAATGGGGTTGGAGCCAGAGAAGGGGTGGAGGGGAGGGGCGCAGCATGGCACAGCCCAGCAGCTGCAGGCAGGTGGCATCGGGGCAGCTGCAGCAGGGAGCAAAGCAGAGGGGAACTGTCACTGGGTGCAGGGCACGGGATGGGGGGGGGGCGCAGCTCTTGCTGCTGCATACACCCCAGGAGGGCTGCTGGCTATGCCAGGCTCTTCGCGGTGGACACGTGCCCCCAGATCTGTGCACGGGATGAGGGCAGGCTGGGGCCAGCAGCAGCACCAGGCTCTTCCCAGCAGGGGACTGTGCCGCGCTGCACTTGGGGCAAGCAGTGGTGCTGGGAGGGGAGGTTACGGGGAGGGCTCCGGCAAATTTTAGGGTGGCTGCAGCCTCCCTCCCAGTGCCACTGCTGCCTGCCCCAAGTACAGGGTGGCCCAACCCCGACCCCCAACGGGAAAAGCCCAGTGCTGCCGCCGGCCCCAGCCTGCCCTTGTCCCATGCACAGATTCGGGGGCACATGTCACCCAGGAAGACCCAGCGCAGCCCTCCCAGGGTACGTGTAGCAGCAAGAGCCACGTCCCCCTATCCCACACCGACTGACAGTTCCTTCTGCTTTGCTCCTTGCTGCAGCTGCCCCAGGAGCAGACAATGCCACCTACCTGCAGCTTCTGGGCTGTGCTGCACCCCTCCCCCGTGTCCCTTCCTCTACAGGCTTACCTCACATAATGAATTTACCTCCAGTATCATGAATTTTGAGCGTAAAAAGGGTAACCATGTAAGAGCAAATTTGCATATACAGAACCTGCAAAAAGCGAAGGAAACCTGTATGCATGTTTGATTATATTATTGCAACTACCCTCTTAAAGCAGTAATAAAGTGCCAATAACTTTGGATATATTCACTTACCCATCATTATAAGACTATCAGTTTACTAGCTCCTTCCCAGGAAGGAAAACAGAATGGAGGTTACTTCAGCATTTGGTCAGGAGGATGCATCACAAACAATTGGATTATTCCCACCCTGCTCCTTCCCACATACCTTTATTAATAACATAGCAGAAGCACATGCAGGCCCCAATCAGAGATGAGAATGCCACATGGCACGACCTCTACATACAATAGTGCATCTTATTTTTAAGCTTCTGAGACAAGGGTTTTATACCACTCCTGCTCCTTTAGAGAGCAGGTAAAAGGGCCAGTGATATGATAAGATTGTACTGGAGCAAGCACCAGACAACAGCCATAGTGCCCCTAAGGACACGTACACAGGGCCAGCCCAGCATGTAATGTGCATTAGAAACCACAGCTCTTCCCATATTCTACCATACTGTGGCCCATAGGTCAGCTTCAAGTCGCTGCTGCAACTCAGGTGAGCCCCTGGGCTGTTTAACGTAAGCCTGAAACCTCTCCCAGGACAGGTCTGGGTCAGAATGATGCAGAATGTGACAAGGACAGGATCGCTCCCACAATGCCTCAGGGTGGCAAGCTCTCTGCTGCACTTCTAAAAACCAAATGTCCCTTTTGGTGTTTAGGATCTTATTTAGTACCAGGATTTTATGGGTCCAACATCCTTACTGCTATGGAGTTTAGGGCACTTGAAGGATATCAGCACCTACCTGTAGGCTTGTCACATTAATAACCAAATTGGTCTGCTTTTCTCTGTTATTATTTTAAATGTTAGCATCAGCTTAATATGCACAGAGTTCCTGCATTGATGGTTCCTTGGATGAGTGCCTGTAAGAGACAGGACAGCTCAAGCACAGCAGTTTATTCTTAGGGATAAATATTTACAGTCCAAGCGTTTTGCAAATGACGTGTTTGGTTTTATCTACATTTGTGGGATGTCAATATAAACTTAAATTCTTCATAAAGGAACATTCTCTAGCAATTTTATTTCTCACCAGTCAAAGGTTACTTACTTCTATCATTCTACATAATGCTAATGCCAAGAACAGGTTGTGGTGACTGCTCAAACAAGAAATGCCACCTTGTTACTGCAAAAGTAGGCCTTGTTGTACAGTAATTTAGGCAACAGCTGAAGCTCTTAACTCCTGGATTGGCTGCACATTAAACACCTTTTAAGGGGTTTAAGGCACTCATTATCTGGCTTAAAGTTACACCACTCCAGGGCAAGATTCTCTCTAATCCACCTAATTTTGCTCTTGTTCCATTAAGGTGCAGCCACTTCCCACAACTATTTCACCCAAGTTGAAGTCCTCCAGCATCCCAGGATGCAGTGGGCGAGTAGGGCCACCCCAGGGACCTCACCCCCCAGGAACACTGGGCAGAGTGGAGTCCCAGAGCACCCAGAGGCCACAGTGACTCCTACTGCCACCTGGACCGACTCACTGCTCCTGTCAGTGCGGGACGGCAAGCTCTGGAGACAAAAAGCAATGCCACTTGAGCTCCTAGGGAGCTGATCCTTTTTTCTCTGCAACTCACCCCCCGCTACACTGCCACTGGCTGGGCTGTTGGCTGGTCAGGAGCTACCTGAACTCTGGAGAAAAAAGATCAGGCCCCACGGAGCTCAAGCAGGAAGTCAGTCCAGGCACTGGTGGGAGGCACCGCAGCTACTAGAGATAGTGAAGAGCGCTCTCAGAAGCCTAGCTTTAGGATTCACAGGAATATTTACAACCCCTTTTTTTTTTTTTTTTTTTTAAACCATCACATTAGCTCTCTTACTTTCCCATACTCTTTTTTCGATGGATTTCTCTCTTGAAAATCCCCACTTGAATCCTACCCACCTCATTTTTGAAATGGACTTGTCTTACATGCATTGAGTAAGTACAGCAAGCTGGCCCTGCCCTTGCTCACCAAGCCTCTAGTGGCAAGTCACAGCTATGCATGGGAAGGACAATCAGAGATGCTGTTTCACCCTAGGGTGCACCTTCTCCACTAAACCAAACGACACTAAGCCTATTAACATTTGTGCAGCTTACAGCAGCAGGTGCAACAAGACCCAGCTGATATCACAGTCAAACAGCAGACAGTGACAGGCCTGTTCTGCAATGCTTCAATACTCAAGTAACTCACTGGCAAGTAACTCAAAGCCCAAGCCCAAACCCAAATAGTAAAGATTAAAAGCCAGTGTTGTTTCTTGCACTTTAATCTGGTAAGAAAACACTATGAAAATTTGTAATAAAAAACAAAACAGATAAAACAGCAACTTATTTAAAAAAGAAACCCCTGTAAGAGGTCTTAAACAGTTTCAAAAGCTTACAAGATATATTCAAGCTATGTAAGTTTGTGGCAAGCCATTTTGATGTTAAAACACTTCTCTGTTTACATACAATTCCCTCAGCAGATGTGGACACAGCCAACTCATCACTTATGGTTAACCATCAAGACTACAAGGCTCCACTCCAAGAAACAGCAGCACTAGTATTTTAAGTTAAATTTGTTGCTTTCCTCCTTTCAGCCTGCCACAATACAACTAGAACGGCAAACAAAGAAAGATTAGTGTGCAATACCAGAGAAATCAGGTAAGCAAAACAGCTGCAGGTATCAAGTCTTCAAATGCCACAAGATATTACTTGACAGTGATTTTTATTGTGGCTGTTTTAGTGATTTACAATCCTTAATGGCAAATAAAGGAATGAGGATGTTTGAAGTTCTAATACAGTTTAGTTTGTGTGATTCTGTAAGGATGAGGAAAAAAAATAAATAAACAAAAATCAAGGACTTTCTCCTATAGCAGGTATTGCTCCAATTGCCTTGATACAGGACCCTTCTCACTGCAAGGGCAAACCCAAAAAGCAAACACCTAAATTATGGATCTAGTGAAAGTACAGTGACAAGAGAACAGAGTAGCAGAAGAAGCATTCATCTCTGGAGTGGAATTTTGCTTCCTCCAATTTTCCAGAAATCTAAGCAACAGACCAGATGCACTTCCCACTGTGATTGCTGCACAAAACAGGATGGAAAGTTTTGTTTGTACAACCAGGATAGTATGTGAAAGATACTACATTTAAAACTAGCAGGAAACTTTAAGAGTAATTTTTTTCCTTTGAAATTATTTTAAAAAGGGGGGGGGGGGGGGGAAAAAAAAAAAAAATCGAGACTCTCTCTAGATTACTGCTAATTAAAAGCGTACCGTTTCCCCAGTAAATTATAGTATCTACCTTGCTAGACAGTTAGATCTTGCACTATTTTTAGAATTTCTCTTCTCTCTCAAAGGCATAGTTCCTTGGCGAAATACTACAGGGAAGCCATCTTTTTTTAAATATAGGTGCCCAGTTTACTAATTTTTTACCTTTCTGATGCAAGTCATGAGAATCTCTAGATGAAATAAAAACCAACTAGTTTATCTTAATATTAAAATATGCCATTGTGTATTCTTTAGAGATTAACATAATTTTAACATATGGTTTATTTTCACAGTTTTCTGGTTATAAGATATTAAAGTAAATTGTCCAGTCACATTACTTTTCTATTAAAAAGGCTGTATCAGCTATGTGAATATCCAAAGTATCTGTCAAGAATACTTACATTCAGGACAGAACTACAAGTAGCCATCCCATATTTTCAGTTACAAGCAGATACACATATTTTGTTTTCACACGTCGACTGAACTTCAAACCTTTTAATTCTGCTCAACTTAAAAAGGCAGAAGTTTGAATACAAAACATACTGCCATTCTGAGATCTACAATGTTCATTCAGAGTAAGGCAGGCTACCTTCTAGCCTTTAAAGATTAAAGTACTAAGATTTTCTTTGAAAAACAAAATCTATAAAACATAGTAATTTTAAAATTTTGATGAATATTCAAGAAATACAAAGCAAAGTACATAAGAGATACACTTGTGAAAGTTTCAGTCAAACTTGGGATCAAAAAAAAATTCTCTTCCTTCATGCAGAAAGGTTAACCTTCCAGGATCACGGCACTCAAAGCATCTATTCTGATTAGCTGCACCAAAGAGCTGAATGCCATACCGTACAGTTTCAGTATCAATTTCTCATCACAGTGCTTCCTGAAAGGGTTGAAACAAAACCTTTGAACTTCAAGATGGAAGAAAAAAGTTGGAAAAAAATAGAGTAATTCTGTCCTTCATAGTAACAATGGAATTATTAGCTACATAAGACAGAATGACGTAGCTGATCGGTAAATAGCTTATATATTGCCTTTCTTTGGAAGTCTTGCAGTCACCTTGATGGGCTTATCCTTTATCATGGCATACAGCATAGATGCTGCTGTAGGGGACTTAACAGCTGAATTATTCAGCACCGCTTATATTTGAATCAAAATAGGTTATCCTAACCAACTATTAGGAGGTTAAGATACGATATTAAGTCAAGTGTTGCAGTACACCAAGGAAAGTAAACAACAGTTTTAGAGCAGATTTCCCCCACCTGAGTTTACTCGCATACAAAAGCTAGACTTTCAGAGGCAGCTGAAAACATGACTTGCCCATCCTGCCTATCATCCTACCAGTCCCAACTCGCATTCACTGACAACACTTCCATTCCCTACAATTTTGAGACTGGACTTCTACCTAGCTACTAGGAAAGAAATTATTTAGAAAAAACTTCCTCTAAAAAGTTGCTCAATTAAGTTCAAGGCTCAGAAAGTGGTTTTAACTTTCATATAGACATGTTCTGAGGAAGAAATTCTATTTCTCACTGTCATAGTGTGTATCTTCTTCAAAGAAGGAAAAACACTGCTTATGAAAGGTGATGTTTATAAACCAAAATGACTGAACATGTTTGGACAGGACTGTAGTAAGTGAATTCAGTGTCCAAGTAGGGGAGACTTCAGCACTCAAGAGGACGTAGAAGAGTTCCTAAAGTGCCAGCATAACCACATGTAAGGCAACCCCACATATGTGAATCACAGTTCAGTGCCTGGAGTATTTCATGATGGTCCAATTAATTTTAGGAAACTTCCTCCAACTTAAAGCGTCTGCCATTCAGTCCATGGTTGCTGGGAAACTACAGAGAGCCAGTTGTGCAGTATTCCAAAACAAACAGAACAGGAGGAGAAGAGATAACGTTTGTCCAGACAGCTAAACTCACATAATGCAGAGGGAAAGCGATCGCTTTTCAATTGCCACTAACTGGCCCAGTCCTGAAAGCGGAAACAGTCGCTTGCAATTTTCCATACTGGGTTGTTAGGGGTGGCTTGTGCTGTCAATAAGAAATTCTGGTTGAAGTAACGTTGCTTGTTGCCATCAAATTTTACTGTCCCACAAGTCACAACAAGTACCGTCATCTGGCTTTGCGTAGCTTGCTCTTTACAGAAAGAATGAAAGATGGGGGGAAAAAAAGTTACGCATATTTTCTGTATTTCAGATGTTTTTAAGTAATACTACTGCATTGTTACCTGCTGGTTACAGTTTCTTTTACAAGTAGCTAAAAGAGCACAAAAACTGTTCGCTATATTCTTTCTACCAGAACCATCACAGCAGGCTCCTTCATTAAGCTGTGGATTTTTTTTAATGTGCTTACTTACCACATCTGGAGGGAGGGAGCTTAATTTCATACTGCTTATGCAAGCATGCCACCTAGAGGTTAAACTGCCACATTCTCCTGAAGCAAGCTCTCAGATAGGCATAGGCAGTTCTCTTGATATATCAACTGCCTGCCTCTCACCTACAGCATGTTTGGCTTCCTTTACTTGTGAAGTTATAACCTGGTTGTTTTTTTGCAGAACACAGTGAAGACAGCCAGGCTATACCTTTTGTTTTCTCTGTGCAAGGTTTCCTCAAATATCCACATGATGCGAACTGGAGACTGATACTTAGAAGTTTTGCATAACAAATACTTAATGTAACTGAACAAATTACTTGGCAGTGTATGTTTACAAACTTCAGAAGATTATACAGGTAGGCACTTTCCCCCAAAGTAATGGAAAGAGAGAGAGAGAAGCCCAAGTACATACTGCAAACCAGCAGCAGACTCAGGTGTAGAATGTACCTCGACTTTCACCCCATGTCCTACCAGCTGTATATACACAAAACCTCTTCAGTACCTGAAGATAAATGCATTACCTAAGTAAGTGCTCTTAATAAGAAATTAGTTGAACTGTAAAGAATCTCAGCCATGCTATTACCCTTTCTCTCACTGTGCCCCTTTAATAAAGTAACTTTACATTCCAATTGCAAATTGGCCATGTTTCAAAAGTCATCTTGAGCACCATTTATTACAGCTGTTTTTCATTTTATAGTTAAGAAATAGCAGGGGCCCTTAATATAAAGTAACCTTACCATGAACTGGTTGGCAGTCCAACATATTAACTTGGAACTCACTAGATGGCAACGATTCAAAGAAATTATTCAATGCTTCTTGCCCAGAAAACGCATTACCATTCCAAACTAATGTAGCTTTGTCCAGATAGAGTCTGTTCAACACCTAGGAGATGGAGAACACACGGAAGTTAAAGGGGAAAAAAGGTGTAAAAATGCATTTTTAGAAAATCAAGTTACTTGTTGCCAATATATGACACTGAAATCACTTTAAACAAGTCTTAGATCCTGTAACAGAAGCAAGTAAGCTGTCCTGCTTGGACATTGGTTTATCTTAGCCACTGCTGTCCTTCAGCAAGGACTGGAACAACTGTACAAAATGTTTGCTGCTTCGTAACTTAATTTGCTAAATAAAAACTATTTTCTGAATTTGAGCAATGACGACATTGTCCAACAGGAAGCAGTGGAACAGAACCACACCCCAGCCCACCCAAAATACATTGCTTTCTTTATGAGAAGGACTCCAAAGTTCAACTTATAGTACACCTGTGAGAGACAAATATGTGGAAGCGTAATCTGAGCTAGACTAAAATACCATGTGGGGCCAACAAAGTTATAGAAGAAAAGTGCAATAAGTTTGAATAACAAGACTAGACCTTTCATACCATTTTATATGTTGTTACAAGGAGTACCTCTCATAACTGTAACACACATGTTCCAGTAAATGGTTGCATACTACTTTGCTTTTGACTGGCCATTGGACAAAAAGGACGAGTAACGTGCAAGGAGTTTTGTCAGATACTGAGATTCTCTCCATATAAAAGACCTTTATAATTCTAAGTCTGACAAGGAGTTACTTTTGCTCTTTTTCTGGTGCAGAACATTTATTTCTATTAAAAACCACACACACTTATGGATCTACATAATCCCACATTAAGCAAGTATCCAGAATAAGCATTCAAATTAGCACTTCCTTAACTATGGTTAATAGAACAATGTCAAGTTTTATGGTGTTGGGTCCACTTTTTTCCTCAGATATTTCTACAGACACTCTACCACAATAAAAGAAGCACAGCTAGCATAGGAGGATAGGAAAAAACCTGATTCATGAGACCAGAGGCACTCTTTGAGAAGAGAAAAAAAAAAAAAAAAAAAAAAAACTTAGTGAAAGTAAGCCTGAACTGTCCATGTACACATTGAAAACTAACTATCCTAAGGGGTAGGCAGAACAGAATCACTGTAAAGAAGTCCATGAAACTTGAAAAGGGTCCCACACAATGACAAATCTGAGAACCTCAATCCACTTAGTTGTGCAAAAGATTCTTTTAATGGCAGATCTGACAAGCAGAGGTCTGGATTCAGTAGCAACAGGGCAGTAACAGACTCACAGATGTCTCTATGCATATCAGACAACAAAGAAAATCCTTCCCATACACATGAATGTCCCCAAATAGAGAAAAAAATAATAAGGAGGAAAAAGTGAATCCCCCAATAATAGTTACATACCCTTCTCCTTTTATCCATGGTATCATAGTAAATGTTGACAAATTCTTCTGCAGCTTTACAAGCCTGATCCACATATGTTTTAAAATCCTAGAGAGAAGGAAACAAAAAAGCACAAAGAAACTTTTAATATATAAAAAACTGACCGATGAATTCTCCAGAACAGTTTCTGTAAGCAAGTAAAACAAAACCAGATTCACAAGTACGGGAGAGCGATTTCATTACTTCCCTCTCACAAAAGGTAATGAGGAATTAGGCTGCAGTTGGTTCCTTACTCCAGTTCCTTGTTTGTAGCATCAGTTCCATAAAAATTTGATGTGCTAATCTGAATTTCAGTGAATTTCCAAAACAATTATACTGGGAATGGGAAAAAGTTTTGTCACTTACAAGCAGTCAGAGCCCAATCAAACCAAATGACACGTCCAGGATTGCTAGACTGTTCTGAGTAACCTGAATACATATCCCCTCAACATAAACATTTATTTCTGATCAATATGTGAACTACCTCACTACCCCCACCCCCGCTGCGGTTAAGCAAAGAATGTTTATACAAGTTAATTTTATCTGGCTGATTGTGCCGAGGACTTCTCAGGTCATCTATAACAACACCTCTTCTATGCCATTATGAAAAGAAGAGGATATGCCACTCCCATTAGTGAAATATAGGGAGGGAGGGGGAAGCTCCCAAATATCACAGTACTGCACTTCCCCTTCTAGTTTGTATTTTATTAGCAAACACTATGCATTCAAAAGTCAAATTAATACTGCATTTCTACTAACCATGAAAATATTATTCAACCAACTGCAAATCCAGCTATAGTGTTTTTACAGAGGTTAAACTAGGTCTTAGAAACTAACACTACTTTGTCCTCAGGCAAATTAGGAATAAAGCTATCTAAAGTTTATCATGCCCTTAACAAATATCAAGGCATTCACTTGGATAATTTTTTCCTGCATTTGTTATGAGGGAGAATATGAAGAAACTACCCAGCCAGGTTGGCTCCAAATAGCCATCTTTTTAATTGTAAACAAGCACACAATGCAAGTTGCTTTCTAATTTCTTCTAACACATGTAACACAGTTAAGAGCATTTTTGCAATATACTTAAAATTACCATGCTACCAAACACTGCAGTTAGTTGAGGCAGCTAATGCCTGCAGTTTCACTCCTAGGTTGGTAGGAGGCATGCAGCTTGCTACACTTTTCTTTTATGGGAATTTTGAAAACTTGCCACAAGTAAGTGTCACCTCTCCTCTTCCTTGCCTTTTATTTCCAAAAATTCCATCAGAAAACCTCAGTCCCCTGCTTGGTGACGTCTGTGAAATGCAACTCCCAGCACTGTATATTATCACAAAACTTTGCCATTTTTAGCGCTGCTTTAACAGTCTAAAGTTTTTGCTAACACCTTTCGTGTCCTTTATTGAGATAGTCAATATCCATTTTAAGTCAGACCATGCAAGTGGGCTCTTTCTGATGGAAATGAGGCACGTAAAGAGATGTTCATTCTCTGAACCAACGATGAACAATGTGTGACAAAAGCCACAGTTTAGCACTGAGGACAGACCCCCAAAGTACCTTGCTCTCTTGCAACTGGCTTGTTCTCGTACACAGATATTTGATGGAAACGTCAAGGGTCAAGTGCTTGACTTCTTTTGGGACCAGACTTAAATGTAACTGCCCTGGGTAAGATCAATGGTTTCACATCTCTCCAGCCCCATGACTGTCACTTGGACAACTTCTTCAGCTCCCTTCCACAGTTCTTTAAGTTTTCTACAAGCTTCCTGACTCCACATGCTACCAAGCAATTTATTCCCACATTTCATCACCAACAGGAACTTGCTCAACAACTTCATAATCGCGTCCAAGCTGCATCTTGTACGATTGCTCCAGGGAGATGGCACAACCCCATCACCCTTGTCATCGTCTGCTCCCTCCTCCCTGTCTTCCTCGTCCGTCTGCCCCATACGCTCGACTGGCCAGGGACTGGATAATAATACAGTATTTCCAATTACACCTACTGGTTGTTGCCTGCCTCTTGGTCACATCACCAGGTCTTCTCTTTGGCTCCTATTCTTATTTTTCTCTAATCGTTCCCCTGGTCCCGCCTGTGACAACGACCCCCAAGACCTTATCGGTGCTAAAACCTAATGCTCCGGACTGCCGTCTGCTCCCCCGACCCGCGGGGCAGGGCTGGCGCACAGCCCGAGCCCGAGCCCAACCGCCCTAAGCAGCCTCCCACGCCCGGGGGCGCCTTTGCCCATCTGGCAGCGGATCCGCACCGCGACTCTCGCGACCGTCTCCCAGGGCCGGGGGAGGATTTCCCACGAGCCCCTGCAGAGCCCCGGCCCGGCCCGACCCGGCCGCGCCGCTCCGAGCCGGAAGGGGGGCGGCCGCGGGCCAACCGCGCCGCCCACGCCCCCCGGACCCCATAGGCGGGAAGCGCGAAGCCGGACTCACCACAGGGGCGGCCATGAGGGGCGGCCCCGGGGACGACACGCGAGGCGAGGCAGAGAAGGCCGAGAGCTCGATGCTCGCAGCGGCCCCGGAAGTGCTCACCGGCGCCAACCGTCTGCCCCTCAACTGCTTCCGGTAGGCAACAGGGGAGGTGGAAGGAGGGAGGCCGCTCGCGTTCGCGCATGCGTCCTGCGCGCTCAGGGGGGCGGGGCTGGAGGTTCTGGCACGTGGGTGTCGGTAGAGCGGGAACTGCTCCCGCCCCCTCCCCCCGCGGGTCAGTGCAAGCAGTGGGGTCCGGGCGGGACGGGGCTGAGGAGCAGCTGGAGCGAGCCTTTCTCAGTGGCGGCAGATGACAGGATGAGAAGCAACGGGCTCAAGTTGCAGCAAGGAAGGTTTAGGTTGGATATTAGGAAAAACGATCTCAGAAGGAAGATGGTGAAGCCCTGGAACAGGCTACCGCAGAGGTGGTGGGCGCTCCAGCCTTGGGGGGTGTTAGGAGCCGGCTCAACGAGCCTTGTCTGGGATGATGCAGTTGGGATGGTCCTGCTGTGAGCAGCGGGTTGCACTAGATGGGACCTCCCCAGGCCCCTCCCAGCCCTCACGGGCTATGGCCCACGGGCAAAATACAACCCTCAGGTGGCATCCAGCCCGCCAGGCAACTCCATCTGCCCGCAGGGATCTTCTGCAAGCCCCTTGTAAGCCCTGGCACTGGGCTGCCA